CGATGGGAAAACTAATGACTTTCCTGAAAAAATATACGGGATGAAATCTCGCTTCTGATACTTCATTTTTTGAATACACCTCATAAGTCTTATCAATACCGAAGTCAATTTTCTTATGATGTACAGTTTTAATGTGATTCCAGATTACGCTTACATGCATATAAAATAGCTTACAGAGAGCTCTTAGATAACTGTATCTCATGGAGTGTGCTTATCTCAACACGCAAATTTTTAATGTTATTTCTTAATAACTGAATAGTTTCTTTTCGCTTTTTCTGATATTTCGGTGAGATATGTTAGATAGTTTAAAATAACTTGGATCGTCTGGTAATATGGACATTATCAATTCTAAGAAACTGAAATAGAATAATTTGATAGAACATGATGAGACTCCATATTAACGCTAACTAATAAAATCTACTGTAAGATTTCAACTATAAAGGGTTTAATAAAAACATCAACAAGTGTCTCAGCATACAGTAGCTTGCTCAAGAGAGTATGATACATTAATCATATTCACAACCATTTCATACTCTTCAATATTAGCTACTACCTGCAGATCATTCAGATAATTGATTAACTTAACTGCCTGAGATATGAAACATAATTTAATGATTTATAATAAAAACTGGTATATAAAATCACTGATATTACATTTATTTAAGGTATGACTTCCTGATAAGAAAAAATCAAGCGCTGGCAAAGTATTCAAATTGTTTTGATCCTTCATTAGATCGACACGTGTTTCGCTATGCAATAGCTTCTTCAAGCGTAAACTGTTTACGCAGTTTACGCTTGAAGAATAGCGAAACACGTGTCGCGGTTTTTGTAAAATCCTTATAGTGAAAATCATACAAATAAACTGTATTGATAAGTTGTAGAATGAACATTATTGGGTTAGGTTAGGTTAGGTCCAAAGTGAGTGGGTCTATTCGATCCTCCGCCGCAACCCGCAAGGGTTTATTGTGGCTCACACCTATTCGCAATCGACCAAAAAACCCAGTTTCTCAACGAAGCCGATTAGATTGTATGTTGAGTGGTCTTTCAGGTCAGATGGTATTGGAGATTATATATCTATTCTTGTTGAAATTCATCCTTTTGAGCCATCTATCTTGAAAACGATTCCACATATTTTTTTTTCTTTTCTGATTGATGAAGATCCATAGTAATTTCACATATAGATTCCACATATAGAAAAATCAAGACAAAATTGTTGTGAATTTAATTCTCTACAATATTGATAGTGAAAACGAATAGCTAAAAACCAATAGGAAACTATATCTAGGTTTTGGAACTACTTTTAGGATGTCAAAGTGAAAGTTCATACGAGTTCATAGCTGGGTATCCCAAATTTCGAATTACTTACCTAATTTTGACCAAATGATTAGGGTACTAAGCATTTAATACGCCTTACCTATAAATTTGTTCTTGCAGTTATAAATATTTTGCTAGAAAACTTCATTCCGTTCAACACAAATATGAGTTCTTTGTGGTTTACATCAACAAAATAATATTATGTACAGTTTATTTTACCTCTGCATGCTAGATTTAAGACGTTCTGGTATTTGTCTTGAATTTTGTATTCGTTACTTTGAGTAAAGTAGTTCAAATCATGTTGTGTCAATCGATAATCTACGACATCTTCATCCATCGTACTGCTCGTTAAAGTTGCCATTTTCTCTCTCTATTCTCATTGAAGTTTCGTCATTGAAAAATCGAGAACTGGCAACTTCTGTGAAGATCATGCAACATTTTTCACAAGGTTTCTGTTTCATTTCCAAAAAATATATGCAGAAAAGCGATGAACTAGTCTGGTGCTCCTTTTGTAAAAGTAAATTCAATCAACATCACATTTAGCGATTTAGATACCATTTCTCACATAATTCAATCTGAAAGATTGTTTTGGAACATGTTGATCAACTTTGAAAGAGCAAATTGATGAAAAAATATGAAAATATTGAAAATATTGTATATTTTCACAACAGATGTGTGTGAAGATACGCCTGAAGAAGTCATTGTATGGCGAAACACGCTTTTCATATAAATTCGGCGAACCATTCGACTGATCCAAGTTTTCGAAAACTCGAACGACAAAGAAAAAGTTAACTGTAAGAATTGCGATGAAGGGTATGTTGGTCAAACGAAGCCGAACATAATAGCTCGATACAAAGAGCATGTTTTACATATTTGGTGTCAGAGACCAAAAAAGTCTAGTGTTGCCCAACATTGCTTGAAATTGATGAGACCAGTACATGACAAGTTTTTAGATGTCTTTGAAAGTATGGAAATCGTAAAATTTGGAACTGACAGATGGAAACCAGTTAAATATCGGTTATCATAATCAAGTGGTTATTGATATACAGGGTGTATCTTCAATGATGTCATCAGTTTCAGTTGGTGAATATCTGATTTGTATCACTTGCTTTTATGGTCTCTAAAATAACGCATTATGGATTATTTATGACCATGAAAGTATCTATTGAAACTTTTAATGACTGAAATATGTGCGGTAGTGTTTATATACACTGGCTCACAAAAAACAGCTTTATTGATTCTGGTAAAACCATAATGCTATTTATTTTCAGGGTTATACAGGGTGTTTATTAAACATGAGCAAAAATTCAAGGGAATATTCTTTGGACTATTCTGACGATATTTGTCCCTTGATGATTTTTGCTAGGGCTCTTTGTTTCGAAGATACGGGGCGAAAAAAAAATTCGACAATAACAATTTATTCCAAAAATCACTCATCGACTCACGAACTCTTTGAAAAACATCAGGATTGTTTCTGATTGCATTACACCCAGTATCCAGTATCATATCTTCCACTGGAGTAGTATAAACTAATGACTTGTTAGATTTTTATTACACGGTAGGTCCAGTGTAGTACGCTATACTTTCAATTCCGCTATGTCAATGATTTTAAAATTACCAAAATTGTTATTGTCGAAGTTGCCCTATCAAAAATCATCAAAGGACAAATTATCCTCAAAACAGTCCAGAGAATGGTCCCTTAATTTTTTGCCTCATGTTTGATAAACACCCTATATACCGTGTGTACCAAATTCAACTGATTAAAATGTCAACACATTCACTATTTTCGGAATTTGCAGGGTATTTGACTTGAGCGTATAAGTATTTGATGAAAACAGTTTATAAAGGGATTTGTTTCAAATTATCACACACAAAGCTTGCTCAGAAGCAGAGTTTTCAAAATTATAAAAATGTACACGTTTTGAATAGGCTACACTATCCATTTTTGTAGGAAATTTGAGAAAAAATACGTATTTTGCCATGCAGATTACGAATCTGAAAGAAAATATCGGTGCTATTTCTTATTTCCAGAGGTATAGATAGCTGCGTAAACGCAAGCGAAACATAAGTGGAACCACCTATTGGTGTGACACCCAAGTCAACTTGCCAAGTTTTTATGTCAGTGTTGGTGGTCACATCATGAACTTGGTAACATCAGCTCTACGTGAGATTACCAAGCCCTCAAATCGCTCGTGCAGAATATCCAATGTGGCAATAGCTACCTATAGTACTCTTCGTTGACATTGATGGCCCGGCCAACGTCGTTCTCAAAGAAATATGAACGCTGTCAGCCTAAAATCTACACCAAGCAGTGACTTTTTTGGGATACATTAGACGTTCTTGGATCTCATGTGGATTCGCTCATCATCACTGCCTTGGATTCCCCTGTACACTCTCACAGACAGCAGCCCGAATAAAATACTCATTTCAACAAAATTCATTACATTGTTGGCATCACTGATTACGATCAAATATTCAAATCAAATGTTTTTGTCTTCATTGTTGAGACCATCAAATGTTTCTGGCCGTATATTAGGAAAAAAAATTGATTTGAGATAAAATTAATATTGGCTTATTTGCCGCAAAATGAACCAAGTGAACCACAACGAAGACAAAAACATTTAAATTTGAAATTTTCATAGTGATCAGTGATGCCAACTATGACGTTAACCCCAAAAACGTAAAATAAAGAAATCAATCTCCAATAAGCAGCTATGTGAATCAGTAGTTTTTTATAAGAAAAATGCTGACTACCAAACTGAAAAGGGTCAAAGAAAGTGGAATAAGATGTGGAGGTGATCTGAATAAATACCTGATTTTGTTTTTCTATAGTTTGTATGGTGCGAAAGGAAGTGAAAAAATGAATTTTCGAAACTTTGGAGAGTTGTGACTCTGGAAATAATGAAGAGCACCGATCTTTTTCTTTCATATTCGTAATCTACACGTCAACATTCGTAAGTACTCCCATTTTTTTTTCAAAATCAGATGATGTCTATTCAACAGATTGGGTTTGGTGTAAATGTATTATTACTTCCAGAGAGAGAAACTCAGTTCCATATTCCACATTTCAGGGCGTACGCAAAAAATGTCGAAATTTTTAAATTCCGAAAATCACATTTACTTATCACAAATATTGATTTTGACAGCGCATTTCATGGAAACCGATTTCTTCTCCTTCTGAAATCGCTATAAACATCTAACTTCCATTGCATTCATCGTTTTTCTGCAATGAAGGAAATGAAGCTAATAAAATCTGAGGTGATCACCAACGAATTCTCTGCCAAATTTTTGGAAATCATCTCAGAATTTGAATGCCATCCCACACCCCCACCAAAATCTTTATCTAAGATGAAACGAGATACAGGCTGGAAGATCTCATCCCCCATAAATATTACAAGGAAAAAGTATGTAAAACACGCTCTTCTAACTCATTATTTTCATCAGGTATGTTGATATATATTGTTGACATATATTTTCATAGCATCGTTGCATGTTAGCACCTTATGCAGTAATTTAGTTATCAAGGGATGATATAAGTTGGGAGTCTCCCAGAGTTGAAATAAGTTTTTGTTGTTTGTTCCATTTTGATTGGTAGAAATTTTTGGTTGAATATTCATAGTTTCGAATGTTTTGTACATGTTAACAAGTTAGTCATGATATAAGTTATATTCTCAACTTTTTCGCAGCTTGATCTGGTCCTGAACTCTGAAGAAGGCGGAGATCTCTCGGACTTCATAACGAATGGGGAGTGGTACCTTATTGGTGAGTAGATGATAATAATGTTCATTCTAAATAGATAAGAATAGGGTACATTACAATGAAAATTCAGACGAATCGGTGGATGCATAGCCCAAAGCCCGTCTGCATTTATTATTCTATGGTAAATTGATGGATGTAGCCGTTACTACGTCCTATACGGACATTTTCAGACGTATACATATGTATCTGTAGAGTAGGGAGGGTGAGTGTAGGCCTGCAGCACTTAGGCCACATGTGACCCTCCTGAGAAGTTGTCCTCCTAGGTCATCGTCCATCTTGTCCTTTCCAGGAAGGTGGACAGGTCATTGGGAGACCTCTCCTTCATATCGGCAGGTGTAGGTCAAAACTCGCCCTACACACACTCTTTATTTGACGATAACTCTGGACACTCGCATAAGACATGCCTGACATCCAGCATAGCCCCATTTCATGGAGGTATTTCCTTAGTTAACATTGGCTAGTCAGAAATCCTATTGTTAAGCATAGGTTTTTTCTGGTCATCGCCAGATATTTCTTCGGCGTCAGCTTCCCAGGGTCGCCCAAGGTAATCCTGGCAAGATTGATTCCATCCCATCTCTTTAGGGATTGAGCATGGGAGAGACGTTTGGCTAGTACCGCAATTGTCATCAGGGCGTAGGTGTCACTGGGTCCTGAAATTTTTAGTCCAGCCGCTTCCTTGGCTAAAGAGTCGACAATGCGATTATCTCCACTCCTGCCGTGCTCTTTAACCTACCTCAGTATGATGTTCTTAACTACCGAGGCTCTGGTTAAATCTTGGTGGCACTCTAGTACTAGCCCTGAGGTAACACGTTGTCTGTTCGAGGCTAACAGGGCTTGTCTGCTATCAGTGCAGATTGTTATGTTTGTGCCAGACATTTTTTTCCTGGTTATTTCTTTTGTGGCGATTGAGATACCAGCCAGTTCTGTTTGAACCACGCTGGTATTTTTCTCATTCCCCACTTAATCCTTGGGCTTAGTGGTCTGGAGTAAACTCCACATCCTGAGCCTTCTTTGGTTTTTGAGCCGTCTGCATATATGCGTATTGCATTTGTAGCATCTGACTCTGTGTTCTGTTTTATTTGTATTTTGTAGGGTTTATTAAACACACACCGGGGTTCTATTGCATCACTGGCTACCTGCAGCAGAGGTTGCGTAGTAAACGCTCCGCATCATAGGCTCAGCCTCAATTGACCCATTCCTACTTCGAGGTTTACACCAGCCGTGCGCAATCGTAACATGGCCATTAACGCAACCTCCCTAACTTACAGGTCCACAGGGGTCAGACCAGTAATTAATTCCATTGCCGCGGTTGGTGTTGTTCTCATGGCTCCTGTGATGTTTAAACAAGCCAATCGTTGTATTTGATATAATTTTTGGATGGCCGTTGCTTGTAGAACTTTTAGTCCTCATGCAATGGCTCCGTACGTTAACATAGGTGTTAGTATTGCAGTGTAAATCCACACTGGGTGACAGACCCCATGTGCGTTCCACTGTTCTTCAACATTGCTCATAAGCCACATATGCTCTTTTTGCTCTACTCTGTAGGTGAGTGTTCCATGTTAGCTTCCTGTCGAGGGTAGTACCAAGGTATTTCACCACTTCAGAGAAGTTTAGTTTGCTTTTGAAGATTTCGGGAGGTTTTAAGCCCGATAAATTCCTTTTCCTGATGAAAAGGACCATCTCAGTCTTCTTGAGATTGATCGACAGTGAGTCTTCCTTACACCATGTTTCTATTAATTTGAGCCCATTCTGCGCTCTATGGGACAGTGTGTTCACAAATTTGCGGTCTGCAAGATAACTGTGTCATCTGCATATGCAATTGGGTAGAATCCATTATTGTTGAGGTGATTAATCAGGCCATCCAAAACTTATACATTAAACTACATTAAACCATCGGTTTAATGACTGGCTGTTCGCAGACGTCAAAAATATGCTCACCGGTAAGAAATTTTGCTCAAATGTAAAAATTATGGCTGAAACTGAGGCCTATTTTGGGGCAAAAGCTAAATCGTTCCACAAAAATGGTACTGAAACGTTAGAACGGTGCTGGAATGATTGTGTGACTCTTGATGGGGATAACGTTGACGAATAAAGCCACTTTTGAACAAAGAAATCGCGTTTTTTCTCTCAGGCCCGGGAATTTTCAGCCCATGGTATAGTATGATATCTTAATAATAATAATAATAATATGCTTTATTATCATAAGACATAATCTTGTAGACAAAGCTTGGGTAGTAAATACTTNAAAGATATCATACAATAGAAAATACCAAAAAAGTTTAAAATATTCAAATGCAGTGAACCATACTTTGTTTAATAAAAAATACAGTTGATAAAATAAATTAGAGAAAGCGTTCCTCATAGAACTCTTCTAAACTATAATAGGGTCTACCACATAATAAGTCTTTTACTGATTTTCAAAATACACAGCTATCCTCTAAAATTTGTATATGGTCAGGTAGATGATTAAACATCTTGAGACCATTATAATATATAGAGTCTTTGACTAGAATAGAGGCTGGTATGGGTAATCTAAGGTCGTTAGATTGACGAAGGGCATAATAATTGGAGTAACCGCTAAATATCAATTTGCTTGTTAATTAAACATACTGTTTCAAAAATAAAGATTCCAACAACTGTCAAGATTTTATGAAATTCAAATAGGGGTTTGCAGGAGTCTCAACCTTTGGCATTACACATGAATCGTATAACCCTTTTCTGAATAATGAATACAGTCCATTTGAGTTTTGCAACTCCCTAGAAAGGAATTCCATACCTCAAATACGACTCAACAAGTGAGAAATAAGCAGATTCAGCGGCAGACAAACCAAAATCCTTATATGTTATTCTCACTGCAAAACACCCTGAAGCTAGCTTTTTATTGAGGGTTGCAATGTGATCGGCGAATTTGAGTTTATTGTCAGTTATTACCCCCAAAAATTTAGTACTAGGTCTGTTTTCAATTATCCTGTCCGCGTCCTATGTTTGTAAAAGAATGCTGTCAATAAAGCAGCGGAATGATATTAAATTTGTTTTGGAAACATTGAAAGTCAGCAGATTAGAGTCGCACCACTTTTTTTATACCTGCACTGATATTCTCGTGTAGATTACATAAAGTTTTATCACGCCACAATATTGTGGTGTCATCAGCAAATAGGGTGAAATTTCCTTTCATATCGATAGATGCTAAATCGTTTATGTATAGCAGGTAAAGTATCGGTCCCAGTATTGAACCTTGTGGTACGTCTTTATACCACCTTTATACGTAAAATGTCCCAACCAAGTTTAACAGTCCCGTTTGAGTCCATTCTTCAGAAGATACGGAGCTTTAAACAGACAGACACGGCAAAAACATTTTTGTATTATGTATGGCTATCGCATTTGCATTTTGTTCGTTTGATGAATTTACATTGAGACTATCATCTTGCAGGAATGCCCGGAAAGAAGAATACCATCGTTTACCAGTGCTGCCCAGAACCCTACGTAGACGTGACATTCACCATCCAGATCAGAAGACGGACCCTCTACTACTTCTTCAACCTCATAGTACCCTGCGTATTGATCTCATCCATGGCACTCTTGGGTTTCACTCTACCCCCAGACTCCGGAGAAAAACTGACATTAGGTATATGTTTCTTGACGTATGTTGCGCCCTATGTTTGCACTTAAGTGACGTTTGACACGCGAGTCATGCTAGACTTCTCAGTGTCAACTCATTATTTCGTATATATCACACACTTCTAACAATCACCGTCCAGTTCCGTGTTCACTTTCAGATAGAGATTAAATCACTAGGTGATCCGATAGAGCGGCTTGGATGGAGCCGCAGCTCGTTCGATACAAAGGATTTCGATTAATGTTGCAGGGTTTCCCCATCAGACATCCCCTTGAGCTTTCTGGCATTTTGTTCGGTAGACTTTCGTCAACTCAGTACCCCAACGAAATTCCTATCAATAAAATTAGCATTGAATGCGTTCCTGAAAACTAAAAAACCCACTGCCGTTCTTCAAGCATAGGCCACTGACTAATAAGAAAGTTTTTCTTCCCTATTCAGAGGAATCGGGCAAATTACGGATATGCAGTTGGTTAGTACTTCGTCCACTAGATGGAGTGACATTTTGTGATGTTCGCTCCAACTTCGGAAGAGGAATGAAATACTCTGAAAGAATTCCGATTTTCAATTGTGGAATATCATTGACTTTAGGTCGATGATGGTCACTATTTTGCACTGATGAGTGGCTAATAAGCCCGAAACCGGTCTGCAAGTGTGCCCGTTCCATAATTGAAGGTCG